CTAATAGACAAAGCTAATTTGATTCAGGAAACATTTGCCATGGTGAGATAAAAACTTTATTGCATCTCTTTCCAAAGGCAAGCCACCCAGGGAAGATGCCACCCTCGAGTTAAGTCATTTTACTACCTATAATGACGTATTATTGGGGTGTTTATAAGTTGCCTGCCTTAAATAAGTTTGGAAAAGGGCCTCAGCTGAGGTGGATTTATCATGAATTCAATGAGGCTTAGGCTTCAGGGCTCCTCACTTGCATAGGTCCCTTCCAAAGTCTTGAGAGGGGTCCTAGCGATTTTTGTATTCACAACTTTGCATGTTTTTATTGGATAGGATTTCCCAAAGTAGATGAGGTTCAGGCCCCACAAAACCTTGATTCATCACCGGGTTTCAGGTAATTATAAGTCAGTAGGTTTCTTGAATGAAGCTTCTATGTTATTGACAAACATCAGGTGAAGTAGTTAGCAGTGTGGTAGTCTATTTTAAATCTGAATCTACCTCAAAGATGAACCAAGAGTTTTTAATTACTAAAGTACCACTTTTTGACTGGTGGTGGTAATCATATCTGTCTCAGATAAAATCAGGAATGAAATGTATTATGGAAGAGGAGCAGTGGTTGATAATCCTAAATGTTAAGTATACTTTTTCTTTCTGATTTTATAGTGTTTCTCCTTTATTCACCTAGGCAGGTCCAGACTGATGGCTTATTTTTAAAAATTCTTTTAGTCACTTCATTGGTTCTAACAATACAAGCTCCATGATTTTAGAAACTGAAGGACTCTACAATGTATACAGGCTATATAACTTAACCAGACAGAGTGCATTCACATGCTGTCTTGTCTGTGGTACGCCAATATTGAACCAAGAACAAGAGAGAATAAGAGGAAAATCAAAGCCTTATCCCTTTTAAATTATTTACCCCATTTTGGAGAATATCAGTGAGGGAGGGGGGCCACACTATGAAGGCAAACTGAGCTGTGGTCACAGAGCCGCCCTAACGCTCCCCCAGTCAACTAGCGTTGGTTTCCTTTAGATAGCTATGTACACACAAAAGCTTACACACTTCAGGGTGTTGTCATCACTTTTTGCTATGTACTAGAATCCTGGCAGCTTCTCAGATTTAGAAAGGCATAAACGCTAAAAACAAAAATAACTTGGGTCTGCCCTTTGCCATGATTTAGGGTGGCTGTTTTATTTGTAATAGTTCAAACTTTTGAGACTGTCACACCTAGCAACTACTATATTTTCTTCTCTCAACTGCATCTTATTCTTCCCACCTGTAGTATTTTCTCCCATTCTATATGGTTTTTTTCACTTTCTTGATAGTGTCCTTTGAAGCACAAACTTTTTAATTTTTATAAAATCCCATTCATCTATTTTTCCTTTGGTTGGTTGTGCTTCGGGTATTACATCTAAGAAACTGTTGTCTAATGCAAGGACTACTCCTGTGTTTTCTTTTAAGAGTTTTATAGCCTTTGCTCTTACATTTGGATATTTGATCCATTGGGAGTTTATTTTCATATATGGTGTGAAGTGTAGGAGTGCAGCTTCATTATTTTGCGTGTGGATGTACAGTTGTCCCAGCATCATTTGAAAAGACTCTTCTTACCACATTGAATTGTTTTGGCATGCTTGTTGAAAATCAATAGACCATAAATATGAGGGTTCATTTCTATACTGTCATTTCTGTTCCATTGATTTACATGTCCTGTCTTATGCCAGTACCACACTGTGATTGCAGTAGCTTTGAACTGAGTTTTGAAACCAGGATGTGTGAGTCCTCCCACTTTGTTCTTTACCAACATTGTTTTGGTTATTCTGTTTCCTTGAATTGCCATATGAATTTTAGAATTAGCTTGGCAATTTCTGGAAAGAGGTCAGCTGGGATTTTGATAGGATTTGCAATGGAACCATGGGTCGATTTGGGAAGTAGTGACATTTTAATAGACTATCTTCCAGTCCATGAATCCAGCATGTCTTTTTATTTATTTAGATCTTCTTCAATTTCTTTCAACAGTTTTTTACTTTTCAGTGTGAATCTTGTACTTACTTGGTTAAATTTTTCCCTAAGTATTTTATTTGTTTTCATGCTGTTACACATGGAATTGTTTTCTTAATTTCACTTTTGGATTACTCATTGCTGGTGTGTAGAAATTTTTTTTTTTTCTTTTTTTTTGTGGTATGCTGCCTCTCACTGTTGTGGCCTCACCCGTTGCGGAGCACAGGCTCCGGACGTTCAGGGTCAGCGGCCATGGCTCACAGGCCCAGCTGCCCCGCGGCATGTGGGATCCTCCCGTACCAGGGCACGAACCTGTGTCCGCTGCATCGGCAGGTGGACTCTCAACCACTGCGCCACCAGGGAAGCCCTAGAAATAATATTGATCTTATATCCTGAAACCTCGCTGAATTCATTTATTAATGCTAACAGTTATTTTCCTAGATTCCCAGGAATATGTCTTGTGGTCTTCCAGTTTCCCAGGAATACATTGGAACATTTCAGTCTCTGTGGACATCTCATTCCTCAGCTTTTGTTTTTAAGCTTTTCGGTTGGGCTGTTTTTTGCCCCAAACTGTTATCCATTGTCTCATGCAAGTGCCGTGTTAAAATATTTGCTTCAAAACGTTTTCCGAAATGCCACCTGAGGAGAGGCTTTTCTCACTAGACTGCTGATGGTCAGGTCAAAGACAAGCCTTTCACGTGAGGTCTTCCAGGGGACCACCAGACATGTAAAACAATGACAGTTCTTTGGGAATGAGTCTTTTTGAAGGACCTCCCAGACCATGCTGCTCCTTCTGATACCAGGGATGTGGGCTGTTTTTCAAGGCTACCACTGGCATGGAGAGCAAAGGTCAAGGACAAGTTCAAGCAACACAGATCTCATTGTTCTTACAGAAAGTAATTTGTTTTCCTTGAATAAATTGCTCCCCACTGTGTTGCGAGCCTGTTGGTTAAATTTCCAGAGTTCAGAAGAAGTTGATTCTGACCATTTTTGCCAGTTTTGTTGTTGTTGTTATTGTTATTGTTGCTTCTATGGAGGGATGAATTTTTAGATGTCCTTCCTCCATCATTTTATTACTGATTTTCCTGCAATGTTTTTTAAAATCTCTAAAGTCTAAATGACCATAGGCTAATTAAATATTTATTATGGGAGATGATTAAGGAAAAAATAAAAAGAAAAATAAATAAAAAGAGAAAATATAATTCTCATAGAGGCTTTCCCAGATGGGTAGATGAAGTTTGAAAAGGTATTTCTATATTTAGTGCTCTCCAAATTAAGGTTAAAATGACAGGTATTTTTAAAAAAAAACCTTTATTTTTTTCATTCATGTTAAACACAGGCTTTAGAGTCAGAACTGAGTTCAAATTCCAGCTCTGCTTCTTACTAGCTTGATGACTTAGGACAAGTTATGTAACTTCTCTGTGCCTCTGTTTCCTCATTTGTACAATGGGGTAATATATCTATCACATAAGGTTACTGTGAGGATTAAATGTTAAATGCTGATCACAGATCCCTGACAACCCAAAAGATATTAGTTTTGATGATTATCTTTATAATATTCTGCAAAAGTACACTAATAATTCTTGAGTAGAGTTAACTTAAAGTCATATATTCTTTTCTTTCTTCCTATTTCTTTTGGGTTTTTTACCCTTACTTGTTTTACAGAGCAAAGGAAGAAAAAAAAAAAGAAAGAACTAAGAAGAAAATCTATTCCAGCATTTTGGAATAAAATTTTGTTCCCCAAAATTAATTTGTTTATTTTATTGATATATAAACAAAATGTTATTTATTTAGTCAGCAAAGATTTATTAAATACCTAGTAAATATATAGCCACTATGTCAGGCACAGTAATAATAATGACAATAAAGTGTGGTCCCTGCTCTGAAGTTGCTGACAATCTAGGACACTGACAAGTAAACCAGTGATTACATACACAGTAACAAACGCTATGATACTAGAATACACATGGGACTATGTGATGGTAGTATGGCTTTCACCAGTTCCTCTTGGATTTATCTCTTCTTTGGCTCCAGAACCAAGGAATTAGACCTATTTTTGTCTTTAATTAGGTAGTTTAAATCATGAAATTTTCAAAAAATGTGTAGAGATGAAAGAAATCACCTTGAATTATGGAGGACACTAGAAATAGTACTTTTTTACAGAGCAAGGGCTTCCTACCAGTATAGTCACTTCGAGGGTTTTGAACCTGAAAAGCTCTTTGGCATATTTTTTCTATGCTAGCCACTTTTTTTCTATTCTTTTGTTTGTTTCTCTTCTCCACTTTATCATCTAGAGACCTGCCTAGTTCCCAATGAAAGGGTGTTTTACAAATTCTAATGGTGATTTATAGGTAAAGTGAGAAAATGGGGTTTTTTTGACCTTCAAGTTCCATACCAAAAAAATTGAATATAAGCTTTCATGGAAGTAATTGAAAATGCAGATAATTTTCATTCCATTCCATTTTTCAGAATTCTCAATCGTAATCCTTTGACAGCAGTTGAAGATTCTTATGTTTTTACATTGCCAGCATTAAAATATCTGTAAGTATTGCAACAGTTTCATGGCTCATGAGATAATTTCTGCTCCTTCTTTCTTTCGTCAAAGATTGAGTACTTTGGCTAAAAAGTCATAATTTAGACTTTACCTGGGTTATTGAAAATAAGAATTATTGGCAAAGAAAAGGATTAAGAAAGAATATATACGGGTAAGACAGCCAGCAGAGAATGAGAACAGTGTTGAAGAACACATATAGTTATGGAAGATGTAGATGAATGTAGGAATATTACTTATCCCAGAAAGCAAAAAGCAATAAGGGGTACATTATTTTATTAAAAAGAGTGATCAAAGAGGTAGATGCAATTGAAAATGAGAAGCTAGGATAATAAAAAATGATTGTGCTGTTCAGCACCAAGGTCATTCATTTGATGATGCAAATTTAAATTTCTTCAATAAGAGCTCTTTGGAATTATCATCTATGGCAAGTAAGAAGCCAGAAGTGAAGTAATCACATGTTAAGTATCTTTTTAAGTGTAGAATTTTTGTCTTTGGGTTTTATATCATGCATGTTTGGGCTTCTCCTTCAGAGACATGGGAACAACACAAGTGTCACAGCAATTGAAAGCATCGTCATGATGACCCTTGAATTGGAAAAACTGTAAGTTGATTTTTCTTACATTTATTTTCACTCATTTGTTTTTTTTATGTTTTTTTTATTATTTTCTTAAATCAGGTTTACTTATGTACATTTTCATTTCACAAAATTCACTGTTTTTAAATATACAGTGTGATGTGTTTTGACAAACGTATAGTTAGTTCTGTAGCCACCACCACATTTGAGGTAAAGAACATTTCTGCACTCCCAAAAGACCCCTCATGTCCCTTTGTAGTCAATCCATCCTCCTCCCACTACCAGCCCCTGGCAAAAACCAGTCTGACTTTTGTCCATGTAGTGTTGCCTTTTCCAGAAAGTCTTATAACAAATCATGTGGAATGTAGCCTTTTGTTTTTGGCTTCTTTCACTTAGCCAGTCTCTTTGGAGATTCATCTGTTTTGCTGCACCTGTCAGTATTTCATTCCTTTTTATTGCTGAGCAGTATTCTAGTTGGGTGGATACACAGTTTGTTTACGCATTCTGTGACTGATGAACATTTGAGTTTTTTCTAGTTTTTTGGCAGTTTTGAACAAAGCCTCTGAAAACACTCACGTGTGTGTGAACATATGTTCTGTGCGAGCATATGTTTTCATTTCTTTGGGGTAAAATACTTAAGGGTGGGATTGCTTCATCATATGCTAAGCGCATATTTAACTTTTTAAGAAACTGCTAAACTGTTTTCTAAAGTGCCTGTGCCATTTTGCTTTCCCACTAGCAGTTTATGCGAGCCTCAGTTGCTCCACATCGTCACCTGATCCTTATATTTGTTTTTTAAAAAAATTTAGCCTTTCTCGTAGGTGTGTAGTTGCATCTCGTGTTTTTTGCCACATTTTGCATTTCTGTAATAGCTGATGATGTTGAGTGTCTATTGATGTGCAAATATCTTTTTAAAGAAGTGTCTGTTCAAATCCATTTTTAAATTGGATATTTATATTGAGTTTTAAGAGTGCTTTATATAAAAAGCAATGGAAAAAGTCCTTTCTCTCAGATATGTGTTTAGTAAATATCTTCTCCCAGATTGTGACTTATCTTCATTGTATTACAGTGTCTCTGAAGACTAGAAGTTTTAAATTTTTGATGATCTCTAATTTAGCAGTTTTTCTTGTTTTTCATATTTGTTTATTTGGCTGTTCTGGGTCTTAGTTGCGGCAGATGGACTCCTTAGTTGCGGCATGCATGTGGGAACTAGTTCCCTGACCAGGGATCGAACCCGGGTCCCTGCATTGGGAACTCAGAGTCTTAACCACCAGGGAAATCCCTTAGCAATTTTTCTTAGATGGTTTGTGCTTTTCTGTGTCTTATCTAAGAAATCTTTGTCTGAGACCCCATTGTCTAACCCAAAATCACAAAAATTTTCTCCTATGTTTTCTTCCAGAAGTTGTATAGTTCCATTTAGGTCTATGATTCATTTTGAGTTAATTTTCATATATGTTGTGAGGGAAGGGTCAAGTTTCATTTCTTTGCAGTTTAAAAACTATTTCTGTAGGACCCTATTGTGACAGTTTATTACACAACTTACTGCACCTTAAACTGTACCATCCCCCCTCCAATATGGCAAGCGAATAGAAACTTTCTGTTATGCCAAGGCTAGGTGAGGGGATTGCATGAGATTAGTATGCAGAAAGGGCACTGTATTTAGCAGTCTGTTCCAACCGTCTTCGTCAGGTCAGCTGACAAATGAGTGTCTTCACCACGCCATCACACATTGTTCACTGCTCTAGCCTCATCTTCCTCAGCCTCCAACAGCATCTGCCACAATTGCGATCCCTCTCTTGTCAGCTAGATGCCTTCCTCTCTGGATATTAAAAATTATTTCCCTATGTAACTACAATACTGTTAACACACAGTATTGAAGAAATTAAATTCCTACACAATGATATTACCTTATAAAAAGTTGCTATTCAAATTTCCCCAATTGTCTCTCTCATATAACATCATTTCTTTTAACAGCTTTTTGAGGTATAATTGACATACAGTAATCTGTGTTCACACACACGCATATATAAACACCATGAAGACATCACCAAAATCAAAATGTCATCTCCTCAGAAAGTTTCTTAACGTCTCTTTGTAATTCTTCCTTCCCATTGTTCCTGCCCTTCCCAATCACCATGCAACCATTGCTCTGCTTTCTGTTTGCATTTTCTAGAATTGTATGTAGATGGAATCATACAGTGTATACTTTCTTCTAACTGGTTTCTAACTCAGCATGATTATTTTAATTTTCATCCATATTGTTGTATATATCAGTAATTCATTTCTGTTTATTACCGAATAGTATTGCATTATATTGATGAACCACAATTTATCTGTTCACCATTGATGAACATTTGAGTTGTTTCAGACTTTGTCTATTACAGATAAAGTTGCTATGAATATTTGTGTACAAGTCTTTGTATGGATGTATACTTCCATTTCCCTTGGGCAAATACCTGCAAGTAGAATGGCTGGATCATTGGTGAGTGTATGTTTAAGTTTTTAAAAAATACCTATTTTCTATAGTGGTTTGATCATTTTACATCTCTACCAGCAGTGTATGAGAATTGCATTTTCTTCACGTTGCGGCCAGCACTTGCTATGCTCAGTATTTTTAATTTCAGATAGTTTAATAGGTGTGTAGTTGTATATCACTGTAGCATTCCTAATTATTAATCATGTCAAACGTCTTTTCATATGCTTATTTTCCATCTGTATATCTTTTTATCTTTTATCTATATTTTTCTGGAGTTTTGAGAGTTCTTTATATATTCTGGAAATTACTCCTTTATCCAATATGTAAGTTGCTAAGTATTTTCTCCCATTCTGTGACTCATCTTTTTGTTCTCTCAGTAGTGTCTTTTGCAGGGCAGAAATTCTTAATTTAGATAGTGTCTAATTTATCTATTTTTTTCTTTCATGGATTATGCTTTTGGTGTTGTATCTAAGAAATCTTGCCTAACTCAAGGTCATAAAATTTTCACCTGTTTTGTTCTAGAAGTTTTATACTTTTATGTTTTACATTTAGATCTTTGAACCAATTTGAGTTCATTTCCGTATATGGTTTGGATGGAAGTTCTTTTTTTTGTTTGGTTTTTGCACCTGTATATTCAATTGTTCCAGCATCATTTGGTGAAAAGACTATCATCTCTCCACTTAAATGCCTTTGAACCTGAAAGTCAGTTGTCCACATCTCTCTACTTTTGAACTTTCCATTCTGTTCCTTTGATTTTTTTTGTCTATCTTTACCCTACTATCACAATGTCTTGAAAGTGGTACTTCATAAGCCTTGAAATCAGTTACTGTTAGTTCTTCAACTTTCTTCTTTTTCAACGTTGTTTTAGTTATCGTAAATTTTATTTCCACATGAATTCTAGAATTAGGTTTTCAATTTCTATAGAAAAGCCTACTGGTATTTTGATCTATAAATCAGTTTGGGGAGAAATGATTTCTTAACAATATTGAATCTTCTGATCCATGAATACATTTTATCTCTTCATTTATTTAGGTCTTCCTTAATTTCCCCCAGCAATATTTTTCAATTTTCACTTTGCTAGTTTTTTACATGTTTTGTCAGATTTATTCTAAGTATTTTATATGTTTGATTCTATTATAAGTAGTATTTTAAAACTTTGATCTCTGATTGTTTGTTGATATAAATTAATCTTTTTGTATGTTCATCTTGTACCCTGCAAACTTGAGAAACTCATTGATGAGTTCCAGTAGCAATTTTGTAGATTCTATCAGGTTTTCTCTATCATCATGTTATGTGGAAATAAACATAGGTTTAGTTCTTCCTCTCCTTTCTGAATATCTCTTTTCTTTTTGTTGCCCTATTGCACTGGCTAGAACCTTCAGTGCAATGTAAAATAGAAATAATGAGAGCAGACATCCTTGCCTTTGTCCTGATACTGGCAAGCAAGTTCTTTGTCCTTCACCATTAAATATGATGGTAAGTTTTTTGTAGAAGTCATTTATCAAGTTGAGGGAGTGTCCTTCAATTCCTCATCTGCTGAGGGCTGTTTTTTTTCTTTAATCAGGAATGGATGTTAGATTTTTTCATTCTTTTCCTGCATCTATTGCAATGATTATGTGATTTTTCCCTTCTTTTGTTTTCTTAATTTGTTTATTTATTTTTGGGCTGTATTGGGCCTCCATTCCTGCACGCAGGCTTTCTCTAGTTGTGGCGAGCAGGGACTACTCTTCATTGCAGTATGTAGGCTTCTCATTGCGGTGGCTTCTCTTGTTGCAGAGAATGGGCTCTAGGTGCACGGGCTTCACTAGTTGTGGCACATGGGCTCAGTAGTTGTGACTCACGGGCTCTAGAGCTCAGGCTCAGTAGTTCTGGTGCACGGGCTTAGTTGCTCCGTGGCATGTGGGATCTTCACTGACCAGGAGTCAAACTCATGTCCCCTGCAGTGGCAGGTGGATTCTTAACCACTGCTCCACCAGAGATGTCCTGATTTTTCTTTTTTAGTGTAGTAGGTAAATTGATTTTCAAATATTAACCCAACCTTTCATTCTTGAGATAAACCCCACTTGATCATGATGTATCATCTTTTTATATATTATTGGATTTGATATGCTAAAATTTTGTTAAGATTTTTTGCCTCTGTGTTCATGAGAGATATTGGTCTATAGTTTTCTTGTAATGTCATTGTCTAATCTTGATACGGTGAAAGTTGGCCTTATAAATAAGTTGGGAAATATTCCCTTCTCTTCAACTTTCTGGTAGAGTTTGTGTAGACTTGGCATTATTTTATTCCTTAAATGTTCTGTAGAATTTATCAGCTAAGCCACCTGGACTTGAAGCTTTCTTTGTTGGAAGGTTTTAAACTGCACACCCAATTTCTTTAATATCTGTATTCTTGAATAAACTTTGGTAGTGCATGTGTTTCAAGGAATTTGTCCATTTCATCTTGAATTTATTGGTATAAAGTATTCTATATATTCTCTTATTATCCTTTTAATATCAATAGTATTTTTCTGTTTTCCATTTTATTTATTTCTACTTTGATCTTTATTGT